TGACAATATTTTTTGTCATGTGTGGTTGTCAGATCAAACAGGACATTAAAAAGATTTCTCAAAAAAAAGAAAAAAAAAAGCCCAAAACTGTTCAAACCTGACAAAAGCCTACCTAATAACTATTAGGGTTCTTAAAAAAGTTTTAGATGAAAAATTACATGCTGTCATAACTGTCATTTAAGTTTTAAACTGGTGATCCTGGGAACTGTTCGGACTAAAACAGCTTGGGCGTTGCCTAGTTTTTGTTTCTCGTCAGTTATTTCAAGTACCGGGTGTTAGTGCAAAAGCCTATATCCACTCCGACAGAGTTACAATAAAAACTGTTTTTAACAATTATATCTGTGTTTATTTGGTAAACTGTTTCAATAGTTTAATTCAAAGCCAAATAGTGAAACCATTCTCTGTCAAAGTTTTAGGTTTTAACTAAACTTCTAGGTTAGCTGTCTGAATCACCCTACTACTGTAATCAAAAAGTATTATCAACCTTTTTTAGAGTTAAAACAATGAGAGAGATTGTTTAAAAAACAGTTTAATCAACCTTTTTAAACTTGAAACTACTCTTTCCCTAATCAAAATTTGGTAAAAGTTGTCATTAGTTTAAATGTATACTACAGATTTTTTGGGTTTTATAGAAAAACTAGGTGTGTTTGCTTTTTTATTAAAAGCCTCGAAAACTGTAGCTTAAGCAGTTTAAAAACCTTCTAACCTGGATGCTGATTTTTTTTTTTTTATATAGATTTAACCCTTAATTACTGAAAACATATAGTTACTATTCTTTACCTGTTAGCTTTTCCAAAATGTGTGTTAATTTTTTGCTGGTTTAGGTTACACCTAAAACTTTTTTTAAACTTTTATACATTTTCTAGTTAAAGAAACTTTTCAAAGCTAAACCCAAAAAGTTTTGAAACGTTGATGAAGAAATGTAGTTCTTAAAACCATATTTTTAAAAAATGGTTGTTGTTAAAGAACAAATGGTAGTTGAAAAGTCTAACTTTTTTCTTTATAATCCTAAAAAGTTTAACTATAAAAAGGTTTCACTAGTTACAGATGAAATGTTTACAAAAATTTGCTGAAGTGTTTAGGTAAACTAGATTTCACAGTTATAAAAAGTGTATCTAGTTTGTTAACTTTAGGAACACTATAAACAGGTTTGTAAATTAATCAGCTGGTTTTAATTTTATAGAACTTTTTGCTTGTGTTAATTAATAGGTTTTAAACTTCATTGCTTAGTTAGCACAAGCTTCTTGAACTTAGATTATCTAAACAAATTTTGTTTACAAAATTTCTCAAGTTTCAAAAGGCTTGCCTTTTTTTTCTGTGTGTGTGGTTTTTAAACCTTACTTGTATAAACTCATTTTTTTTCCTTTAAACCTTACACATCTTTTAAACATATTTTTAACCTTCCAAATCTTGTTAAAGGGTGAAAAAAGGTTTATAACTTTAACATAAAAAGGCTATATTTTTAGTTAGTTTTAAAATGGAAATGGTTTAACTAGTTAACTATCTAGCAGTTCAAACCTTACAAATCCTTAAAATTACCTTTGTTTAAAAGTTGAGGTAACTGTTAAATAAAATCTGAGGATTTAAAGAGTTGGGATTTTTGCAGTTTCTTAACCTTCCTATAGACTCTAGAGCTCAACAAAAATCTGAAGTTTGAGTGAAAATGAAAACTTAGGATTTAAAGTAAACCAAGTTATTTGTAAGTTATAAAAACAGATTAAAACTTTCGTTTTTAAGATGTTTGTAGTTTTTTTAGAAGTTTAAAAACTTTTAAGTTCTAAGATTTATCAACTAAAAAATGTAGCTTTAACTCTAAAGGTTAATAAAATATTTCATTAAAACCATGTTAACTCTGTACATTTTACCTTTCCATAAAACTACTTTAAAAAAATCAAGCCTCCCTAAAAGCTTATTAAATCCTGGTTTTTAAACTATAGTACTAAAAAAAAAAAAACACATTAAAAGTTAAGAGTGTAGAGTTTTTATTTGAAAAAAGTTCTTCAGTAGATTTTATAAAAAGTTTATAAAACCATGGTAATGGTTTTTGAGGAGAGTTTTTATGAGTTCTTTTTTTCTGTTATTTTTTTTTAAACAAATCATTGGTGGTCTTAAAAACAATATAAAAAACCTCCTCTTCCTTTAATGCAAGTCAAAAAAAATCTTTTTTTTTTTAAAGCTAACAGTTTATAAAACCCTCAAGTGTTTTTAAAAAGCTCACTAATAAACTCTACAGAGCTTCAAACATTTGTTTAGCCTGTTAAGGTTAGTCTATGAACTCCTGTTAAAAATCCTCTAAACTCCTGTTTAAACACTAAATGTAATTCTAACACTTTGAGTTTAGATATAGGAATTTTTTACGAGTCATAGAGGCCTTTTTAGTTTAGAAAGTTAAACGTACCTGTTTAACTTGTTCGATTAAACACTTTGAGTTAAAAAACTCCAAAAAGATCCCTTTGAGTTCAAGTTTATAGGTAATCAACCTTTTGTATAACTCTACAAAATATTTATAAAGGTTTAGTTCTTTAAACTAATTCCAAAAAGGCCTTAAGTTCTTCTACAATACTCTGTTTGATCTAAACTCAGAAACTCGTAAAAAGGTCTTTTTACAAACTCAGAAAAGAGTTGGATTTAAATAGTTTACTGTAGATTGAGTGGAAGACTGTTAGACAGAAAAATTGAAGACTCAGTGTAAAAAGACCTTTTTAACCAGTGTTAGATTCTAAACAAATTCTGAAAGACCTTAGAGATCCTAAAAAGATCTTAAAATGAAAGAGCTGTTAAACTCTGAAAAGCTGGAGTGTTTAAGAACTTTAAGTCCCTAGAGTTTCAAGACCTTTTTGAAGTCCCTAAAGTTATTTTACACTGTTGTGAAACCTTTGTGTAACTACGTAAGAACTCTGTAAGAAATGTTTTATCTAAACTCACACTTAATATGTACTTCTATAGAGTTTAAGAGTTAACTAGAGTTTATTGAATTATTATACCCTTTTCCTAGATATAGGAACTTTTAAGTTTATAGTTTATAAAGCTTACATTACACTACAAGTTATTCATAGTATTGCACAAGAACTTTAACCACAGTCTTATGCGCTACACTTTTAGTGTAAGACTAGAGATATTAATAAAATGTTTCTTATTAAGTATTAAAGTTTATACTTCAGAATTTTAAAACTACACTTAATACTTTTAAAGTTTATAGAACTTTAAACTGTAGGAACTTTAAAGTTCTATAAACTTTTAATACTTTTAAAAGATTAAGACACAATACTTAGCTAAGATTTAGGTTTGAGTGTGTAGTTAAAGTGTAAAGTGTTGATTAGTTTGACTTTTGTTGTTAAAAGACCTTTAAAATTTTTGTATTAGTTATGCTCAAAGTTCCTAAAATATTATGCTAGAACTTAGCTACATATAACACTTTATTGGGGAACTTACAAAATGCTACGACTGTTGGTAACACTTTGGAAGCATTATTAACTACATAAGGCCTACACTAAAAGACCTTGCAGTGTTTGAAACTTTATATTGTTTTTGTCTCAAAGGTCTTTAAGACCTTAACACTTCAAGGTTTAAGAAGTTCATAAAGCAAAATAACTTTAGGACCTTATAAACACTGCATTGCCTAAGGTCCTAAATTTCAGTTAAACACTGTTTTAAAGAGGTGTATGTTAAAACCTTTAAAAGACCTTTAAGTGTGTTTATTTAAAGAACTTCCTAAAAATTCTTTGAGAACTAAAACCAAAGTGCTTTAAGGTCTTAGAAGCATTATAAACTTTAAAAAGCAAGGTAATCTGAAATTTTATGGTCTTAGAAGAAATTTAAAAGGAGAAAACTTTAGAAGTGTAAAATTAAAGATTTTAAGCTTTAGATACAGGTTTTTTTTAAATGTCTTCTATTTCTTCAAGTTTATTGTATTGAAAAGACCTTAGAACTTACCTTAACACTAGCTGTACAACCAATTTTTAAAGTTGCTACACAAGCCTTACAGTTCAGAAACTTTTAACTTAGGCTTTTAGTTCAAGACCTTATACCTAAAGTTTAAGAACAAGTGTAAGTGGGTTTAGGGTTTGGGGTTTTTTTTTAAAGTTTATGATCTCAAAACCTTCAAGTAGAAGGTGAAAGTTTTAAGGTCTTAACCTAAAATATTTTAACCTAAGAAAATTGAAGTTTTACACTTACTGAAACTGTGTAACTTATGTTGTTGAAAAACTTAAGAACTTTTATTTAAAAAGGTCTTAGTTTCACACTACCAGTTTTCTTTTCTTCTTAGTTATACACTTAACGTAGCTTAAGTTTCATGTTTTCAGGTCCCTTTGCCCTTGCTCAAGCCCCAGCACCCTTCAAAAAAGAGTTAGACCCAAACCCCAGGCTGCAGAGCACTCCGCCGGTGGCGCTGAACTGCCTCAAAGCACCTGAAATGCTCCCCCAAAAAAGGCCCATGGAAATATCTCGCGACTGCAGAGGCAGATTGGAGATCCCCAGGCATCCATCCCTCGGCACCCCAGCAACGCCGAGGCGAAGGGGCACAGCACGCCCTGCCTTTGCAGCGCTGAAACCTTTACACGGTTTCCCGAGAGCATGAAACGCACCGTGGGACGAGGATGGGATGGACCAGGCAGCCGCAGGTGCAGCTCTCCACCCCTGCCCTGGCTCTGCAAGACGAGGCTTCCCCTCCCCAAGGATGCTTCCCCCCACAAATCACACATCCACCCCGTTTCTGACCCCAAACCATCACCACGGCTACCCCAGCAGCAAATCAGGGCGAGTGCTTTCACTCAGCTCTGACAGCCGAAGGAACCCTCATAGTTTTCCTGCTGTAACTCCTGTTTAGTGCCCGATCAGCTCCTCAAAAGGACACGAGCTGCCTTCTCCGTGTGCTGCCACAGCCGCATTAGAAACACTACCAGGAAGAGCAGGAGGATAAAAAATTACTCAAGCAAGGTTTTTCTTGCTCTTCCCATTCCAGAGAAGCCTTCAGGAGATGGACAAAGGGATACAACAGGTTTTTTTTTTCCTTTTTTATTGTGTTTTATTGAAAATGAGAAATATCAATTGCAAAAATCATTCCATTCCTCTTAAATGCCAGACCCTGATTCCACCAATCAGTTATCCCGGCAGCAAAGGACACAAACATCGCAATCACCAAAAAAAAGTACTTGGAGGTTGAGTGCTGCCGTGTCATGGTGAGCTGGAGGTGCTCTCCTCCACCAGCGTGGAGGCTCCGGGCCGGCACAGGGGCTCCCTGCTCCATCCCCAACGCTTCCCACCAGCACAGTGCCAGTCTCCATCTCACCTCTATTTCACAGCAAGGACAGAATTCACAGATTACATTTCTCAAGACAAACATCTCGACAGACAAAGGCCACCAGGAGCGTCAAGGCCGAGTCACGGCGGGCACAGATTTCACCTGGCTGCAGTGAAGTAACTCTCGTGCTTGGCAGGGACCTCGGAGCCCACACGTCATTTGCACGCAAAGAAGAACTTTTTCCGGAGAAAGTTGAAACAGCCTGGGATCTGCTTGTACCTCCCCTTGGCAGAGACGGCGTTTGCCACCTGAGAACAGAAAGGAGAGTGGTTGTGGAGCTTTTCTGACACACATATCAGGCATGACCTCTCGTGGGAAGCACAGTGACAAGGACAGGGAATGGGACTGTGGGACAGGAGAGCCGGCAGGTCTCCTAAAATGAGACATTTTCACTGGCAGAACCAAAGGGGACTCGAGGAAACATGACCTTTCGAGAAACCCCGGCTGCACCAGCCACCACTGCTTCCAGCGGGTGATTCTCAGTGTGAGCCACAACTCCCTCTTTCCCTTCAGGTGTTTCCTTAAAAGCAAATTCCCTTTCCACCCATATTCTTCCAGACATGCCTGTCATTTCCCCAAGTTCACTCCCCTTGAACTGAATGCCAACCAGCAGAGAGAGGGTCTTGTGCTACTCCCTTGAAATCAATAGCTGTTGTGTCACCAAATGCCAAAAGAGCACTGTGATATCAGAAAAACAACAAAAAAATAGGTCTTCTCACCCCTGCCGCCTCCACATAAGACTTTTTTCCTACCCAGGGAGAACAGTAAAAGCTTCTAGAAGTACCTAGGCTTGTGCCCAACTTTGACAATCCTCTCCAGTCACAGGGCACGCCGAGGAAGCCGTTTGCTTTTCCACGCTCCCTGCACGTTGTGCTCCTCGCTCACCCTGACGCACGAACACAAACATCCAGCACCACCCTCCCGAGGGCGAGACGCTCCAACAGACTTACCACGGTGCCACAGAAGCGCCAGAGAGAGGGCGAGCACCCATGGAGATCCCCAGGCACGAGAGCCCCAGGGGGGCTTCGCCAAGGGTGTGATCTGCCCAGACGCATGGCAGCCCACTTACAACAGAGCCCTGTGTCCCATCAGCCTGGACTTTTGAGGATGGGCCATGCTATGTGATTTTTTTAGCAGTTTCCTTGGAAAAATATTAAACCCTCTATTTTCAGGACTACTTCTCACTAAAGAAACCTCGAGGTGATTTTTGGCAGGTTGAGGCCAGACTCCTTCATAACTAGACCTCTCCCCAGTACCTCCAATTAGCCAATCCGTAAACCTAACGCTCAATACCCTCGCTCCTTTTTTAACTGGAGGCCTCTGTCCCAACTGATTGCAGGTCTGACTATTCCTTCATCACTTTCACAACTACACAAAGCAGGAAAAAAGGCCATTTACCCGCAGTAACATGTTCAGCAGGTCTTCCGAATGGGCATATTGCTCCAGCACGTAGTCCAGTGTTTCCACATACCACGAGCCGCTCGACACCTCCCTCCAGGAGACAAAACCTTCAGAGAAAGAATGAGAACGTTACTGCTAAAGCCAGACTTCTGTTCCTATCTCTCTGAGTTACTGCCGCTCCCTGGGTGCCATCTCCAATGGAGCCAGTTGTCCCTAACTGCCCCTGACTTTGGCCACGAAGCTCTGACTTTTTTTTGTTAATTCCCCTGTACCCAACAAAGGATTTGCGTGGGCTTTCTCACCTGGGAAAGTTGAATAGGAGACCAAGATGTCGCTGGGTGTGGGCAAACTGGCTACGGCATCCGGCTCGTCCACATTACCCAGCGGAGTCTGAAAAGGAGTCGCGTCCGACTCCAAAGAACCTCCAGGAGTTTCGTTGTCGGGTGAATCACAGTCCACTACAAAGCCTCGATCAATTTGTTCTGCAAAAAGAGGCAGTAAGACAATTCCTGAAATTTCATCTTGCCCAAGCATTCAACGATCGTACAACCTCCGTTAAGAAAAGATGGGGGGGAAACAAAAAAAAAAAAAAAAGAATAATAAAGGCCCTCCAACAAAACAATGCTTTTTGGCTCTTTGGCTGCGCTGGTTGAGTCGGAGCTATTGGCAATTCGCACGAAGCCCTCGGTCAGTGCTTCCCTCCTAACCTCGTGCTGAGGACCTGGAGCAGCCACTCAGCGGGCACTGCCTGGCCACGTGCTGCAGGTACTCCCCTCCTTCCAGCCCACATCTCCCTACCGTGCAGTAAAGCCATTCCAGCACACACAAATCCGTACTGCCCTCCGACGAGAGGCTCACGCCTGAGCCCTCAGACTCAACCTGTGCTAACAGCAAGAATGGGTGGCCGAGACTAAGAGAAGACAGCCGGAGAAAGAGGCGACAAACAAAAATGGAACAAGAAGCCAAAGCCTGACCACGCCTCTAAAGCCTGCTTATGCCCAACAGCTGATTCTCTACTAGAGCCAAAACAAAAATTCACCTCCACCACAGGCCTGGATGAAGAAGAGTTTGGGTTTTCCTCTCAAACTCGGACAATTGGACCCATTGAAATAGTTCACAATCTTTTCTATTGGAATGGGTTTTCCATCCGTTCCGTAAATGCCTCCAGGAAACTGAATATGGCTCGTCTGCAAGAGGAAAATCCAGGAGCTAGTAATGCAGAAGGTGAGACCAGCTCCGAGGCAGCCCGTTTCTGACCAGGTGCTTTGTAGCCTGAAATTACCAGAACAGATCTCACTTCCTTGCGTTTCTGCAAACCTGGGCACCACATCAGGGTGAGGGGACACCCAGGAGTCCTCCGGCACACACCAAAACCCAGCAGCCCAACTCCTCCTGTTACCCAGCTCCTAGCCCACCTCCTCCAGCGATGGGATTCTTCATACTCTGAGACACAACATACACCATTTTCCTAACTACTGCTCTCCTCATCCTTTGAGGCCTCTGACTTGTGATAAATAGGCTTTACTACTAATAGCATCTCCCCCATCAGAGCTGGAGAAACAGGCAGAACTAAACAACCAGAGTATGAGGGCCAGTGCTACCTCCCTTCACTCTCTGCCCATCATTCAGTTCTGAATTATACACCCCAGCTTCCAAATCAGAGAACACTTGTCCACGGGCAACACTGGATCAGACTACACTGAAGAAGCTCCCATTTTCTTTAACCCAGATACGAGAGTGTAGCTCTCTGCAACGCCCTGGGGACAGCAGAACAGCCATCAGATCAGTCACGACAGACCAGACCGCTTCCCTCCCACCCCACACGAGCCCACAGCGCAGGGAACTGTGCCCTCCCCACGGGCAGGCAGCCTGCCTAACCAGCAAAGGGAGCGGTGCCGCGAACCCACCTGGCAACCGTGGGAAAGGATGACCACGACGCAGCAGTCCAAGGCGCTGTGGTCCCGCCGCACCAGCTTCTGCAGCTCTGAAACCATTTCCTACGTGGAAAAGGCCACAGTAAATTTTTTGAACTGTACCTCAGTCACAGATTACTGCCAGGCCCTGCTCTTCTCAGCCTTCTCACAGCTGCACTGTGCAGAAGAATCCAGTTGATCTCTCTGCTGCTTTTGTCAGCAGAAGCAGGATAACAGCCACCCCACGTACAGATGGCAAAAGCCATTAGCAGAGTTAGTACTTCTGTGGTTTTGCCCTTATTTAACATTTGTTGTTTTGATCACACTGATTTCTCTCCTCGCTGCATTCTTTAGAACACAGCAATGTAAACCAAACCACACTTCCACACCATTTATCCACTGAAATGCACTGCTTCCGATGAGGGGCTGGTGGGTGAGCAGAGAACCTTGTTTTACTTTCAGCCTCTGCTCCGGATGACTGAGCCCCCCGCGCCGCTTCGGCTAACAGCTGAGCACTGTACAGACAGGCAAATCACACCCCCGGCTGCACACAACACAGAGGCTGTCAGAGCTTTGGCAGAAACACAGCCTCACCGATTTCCCTACAAATCACAACCATGAATCAAAGGTCAGGCAGAAGGGTGAAAACGTGCAAGGCCCTTCCTCCTTCTGCAGTTGCAGCACAGCAATAAAATAAGAGGACGGGAGCGGTTGATTATTTCTTTGTGCAGGGCGGGCTGGGGGTTCCAGCGCGCTGCCGCCGGGGGGTTGCGCCCCGCATCATGCTGCCGTCGCTCCCAGGGCCCGTCTCTCGTGTTAGCCGGACGCTGCCAGCCTCACCTGAGCTTTCAGATCCCGCCGAGTCAGGACGTCGAAGCGAAAAGCCTTGAAGCGCTTCTCCAGCTTCTCGCAGTCCACGTCGGAGCCGTCTCGAGCCGACAGATTCGAGTCTCTACTGAAGTTGATGTTGTTGATGATCAGGCAGTGTCCGCACGGGTCCGCTTTCAGCTCGTAAACCTGGCAGACACACGTTGCTAATTGCAACACCCTCTTACTTGGAGCACTTGCTGGCTAATCCAGCAGGACACAACTCCAATGAGGAACAGGAGTCCTTAAAGTAGCTCATTTCACAGCTTTTTCACTTCTCCAGGCCTAGGGACGGATAAGAGCATCCATTCTTCGCATGCACCTTGTTACCAGCAGCTGGAGAACACAAAGCAACCTGCCAAATCGGGGACTGCCTTTGGGGAAAACCAGCTGCTTCTTCACCTGCAGCATCTCCAACAGCAAGTTGAAGTTCCTGGGAGTTTTTTTAAGCATCATTGTCAAACCTCACCACGCGAGCCCACACAAGGAGCCAAGAGAACAGGCAGATAAATCTCCCAGAGACTCAGCTTTACCATCGACAACAGCATCACAGGAATTTTAGGAGGGCTACCCAAACACCTGCACTGATCCAGCCCCGAGCCTCGCGTGTACACAGCCGAACTACTCCCTCCACACCAGATACCCACAGACTACCAGAAGGCAACTCCAGACTCACAATACTCGCTCCCCTGCGTGCTTCCCCATGCATGCCACCCGTGTTCATTATTGTTTCCCTGGTGGCTGTCTCTCAATGCTACAAAGTCCAAACACCATTTTGCAGACAGCATGCGACTCGGCACCTTCAGAAATTAAGGGCAAGCTTTAGTTCTGTGTTATTTGTAATCTTAAGGAGCTGGCTAACGACTGACCTGAGTGGCCCCGTTACAGCAGCGTCAGCCTCGGAGGGATCACCCAGATAACACAAAGCAAGAACCAGCTGTCCCAGGGCCACCCACAAGGCACGGAGATTTTGCTTAACAGGAAACACTTTTGGCCTAACCAAATACTAACCAGATCGCGGTTCCTCTTGTCGACAGCCGAACCTACAACACACAACAGAGACGCCGTATTTAGCTCTGTGCACTCCCCAACAAGACATTATACACTTCTGTCTTAGAATTTACGTCAGTCCTTCCCTGTCACCCATGACACGGATGAATTCCCCCTTCCCACCCTGCTACACGCTGGAAAGGAGTTTCTCTGGGAGAGCCGGGGCCATGGCTTACCCCGGGGTGGCACGGGAGGTATTCGAGGTCTTTCGCTCTCAGCTTGGACTGGGATGGACAAACGTTCAGGGAAGTTCACATCTGTAATGACACAGCACAGCCAGGTCTCACCTTCTCCCCCCGACCAATTTCATGCTACAGGGAACCAACCCGGGGTCCCCAGAAGGGCCCTGAGCCAACAGCCGCCTGCTGCAGCGACCCTGCTGCGAGGCTGCGACACGACATCGCGTGCATCTTCCCCTTTTCAGGGTTTGACAGACTAAAGTTCCTTCTTAAAAGAAGATGGATCTGCACGCAGGTGCGGCACAGCACAAGATGGGGAGGACGCAGCAAAATCCATTTTCACCAAGGTACCGCAGAGATTGCTTGTAAAAATACAGAAAAAAGAAGCTCCTAACACTACAAGCACATAGCCTGAGATTAAAAGCTGCCACTGCCGTGAAGCACGACATTCTCCTAACAGCTCTGCGCATTCACTCTACAAGCCATGTGCCGGGATAATAAAAATCAGGACTTCACAGACCATTATCTGTGACGAGAGGGATCCCAGCTGCCACTCCCCACCTTGCTGTTTGCTCAGAAAACAACTCCACCCCCAATGCTTACTTTTATTATGTTTTTCTCCACGTAAGTCCAGCTCGACAGGCCTCAGGTCTATAGGCTGCGGTGGCGCCGCTGGGCACTGGCACTCCTCAATCAGCACATCCGCGAGGCCGCCCTGCCCAGTGTCCCGCAGGATGGAGAGAAATATGGGAAAAGCCTGTTTTCCTCGAGTCTCCAGATCGATGACCAGCTGCCGGGCCTGCTCTCCTCGGCTGCCGGCGCTCTGCAGAGGAGGAAAGCCCCCGGACAATTTGGGTTCACCTCGAGCCAAGGCTCACTGCCTGGCCAGCCCTTCCGACCAGCACGCAGAGAGAGGGGGATGCGAGGATCCACCCCGAGCACGTCGCCACAGGGCGAACGAGACCCAGCAGCCACCCGACCCCACTCCAACCACACAGCCCTGCTGCCTCCCCGGGGACAAGCGGCTGCAGCCCAGTGAAGAGCTTCTGGGGAGAGGGAGGAGGGAGCACCCCCAGCGTGTCCCCAGGGGACGAGCAGGCACCCCCCAGCCTGTCACCAGGGTGTGGGACAAGGTAAGACACCCCCAGGCCTGTCACCAGTAACAGAGAAGGGAAACGGGGGTCCCTTAAGCCTGTCACCAGTTTGGGGTGGGGATGCAAGGAGAAACCCCTACACCCGATGCTGGCTGGGGCAGGGGACAAGAAGGGACAAGGTGGGGGAGGATTTTCTAGCTCTTAGCTGCAGGGCCCGGAGTGGGGAGGGATGGGGGCCACCCCCCTCGGGCCTGTCACCGTGGTGAGGGGACATGGGGCCCTCCCTCGGGCCTGAAAGGACACAGGGGCCACCCCCAAAGGCTGTCACTGGGGTGAGGGGACACGGGGCCCTCCCTTGGGCCTGAGAGGACACAGCAGCCACCTCCAAAAGCCTGCCCCCGGGGCTGAGGGGTCACAGGGACCTCCCTTGAGACTGTCACCAGGGGTAAGAGGACACGGGACCTCCCTCAGGCCTGAGATGACACAGGGGCCACCCCCAAAGCCTGTCCCCGGGGCCGAGGGGACACACGCTGCCCGTTCCCCCGTCCCCCCGTCCCACCTGCAGCTCCTCGACCATGGCGCGGGTGAAGACCCCGCGGTCCTCCAGCGCGTCCCAGAGCGGCTCCACCCGCAGCGCCGCCACGAGCCGCGCCCGCGCGCGCCGCAGCGCCCGCCGCTGCGCCTCCTCCATGGCGCCGCCGCCGCTCTAGCCCCCACCTCCTCCCGCCAGTCTCGGTGGCCGGAAGCGGCGCCGTCTCCATGGCGACGGCGGGGCGGGCGCGCCGGAAGCGGCGGCGCTGGCCGGCGGCCGGTCCCCTTAGCGCCGGTGTCGGTGGGTCCCGCCGCAGCCATGGAGCTGGGCCGGGCGGGCCTGGCCTGGGCTGCCGCCCTGCTGCTGGCGGCCCTGGGAGCGCAGGCGGCGGGGGATTTCGACCCGTACCGCGTCCTGGGGGTCGGCCGGAGCTCCAGCCAGGCCGACATCAAGAAGGCCTACAAGCGGCTCGCCCGGGAATGGTACGTGCCGTCCCAGGCTCCGGTCCCGCTCCTCAGCAGCGGCGGCGGGGGGGGGGGCGGACACACGGACGCAGGGCGGGGAGGACAGACCCACGGTGTCGTTTTGTGGCCTCTCGGGTGACAGAGCTAGGCCGCGGCGCTTCCAGGAGCGGGTAACGCGGCGGGAGGCGGGGGGAGTGGGTGGCATTACCCCGGCGTGGAGCGGGAGGCATTCCAGGTCCTTCTTTCTCATCTTGGACTGGGATAGACAAACGTTCAGGGAAGTCATCTGTAACGACGCAGGACAGTCAGGTCTCACCTTCTCCCCTTCCCAATTTCATACCCGCCCCGCGCCAGACAAGGCTCAGCAGGCAGGCAGAGACCAGCGCCCCGTCTTCCCCACAGGCCCCCAGTCATCCTGAAACCAAGCAAACACCTTCACGCTAGCACTCCGTCCTGCAAAACCCTCCTGGAGCCTGGCTACAAGGGAAAAAAGTCCTCCCTGACTCAACTGGGAACCTTTATTACTCCAGGGTCTAAGGCTCAGTTTGATACGTCGATGTCCGAGGGCGACTCAGCTCCCGTGGTGGAGGGAATCATGTTGGATCCACAAATGCTGCGCCCCTCACTGTGGTGCTGTGCGCCGGGAGCGGGCCCGAGGCGTTGCCTCGGGAAATAGCTTCACCCAGAGCTTTTAGAGCCTGCGTAGTTTTGCCTGAGACATCCCTGAGGGCTGTGGCGGGAGGTATTTTACAGGAAGAACTCTGTATGAATGTGGGGCAGGAGCTGAGGGATGCAGTGCTGGTAGGAAAGCTACACACTCCCTCGGTGAGGGATTTGGGAGGGAGGGACAGGCCCGTGTCCCAGCACTGCGTTTTGGGAAGGTGTTTCGGCAGGGAGAGCACGTGCTGGATGTAAAATCTACTCCCAGCCTCAGGGGATGCTGCTGCCCGAACTGTCCATGGCCCGCTCACCTCTGAGCGGAGGCTGGCAGCTCGCTGTGCCCCGCCCCGGGAACTCCTGACCCCCTTTTCCTCCGGTTCTGCCTTGTAGGCACCCTGACAAAAACAAGGACCCAGGAGCAGAAGACAAATTCATCCAGATTAGCAAGGCCTATGAGGTAACACACTCTTCTTGCTAAACTCGTGCTGTTGTTAGAAGTTAAGTGACCTTATTTTATGCTTTTTCTGTGTACACCTACACAGGAAAGGTACTTGACCCTGTAGAGGCAGACACTACTGACCAGAAAAGTCTTTTTTCTCGACAGAGAGCCGCTGGATGTCACCAGCGTGGCTTCTCTTGCAAATATTTTGCTACAGGTCTGCCCTGCTCTCACTAAAAGGCCTCAAATGAGGGAGGAGCAGGTATTTGCCAAGCCCCGCGCAGCTGGGTGGCCGTCTTGTCCGTGTCACACATACGTAGAGGCATTTTGGGGGTGATGTAAGCAGCTTTAATAGCCGCAGCACTTGAGTCGCTTCAAATTATTTTTTGCATAAGTAGTTATTTGCACATCGCTCCTGCGCAGCTCTCAAAATTGGCTGTCCCAGTTTACAGCAGCTGACCTGGTACTTCCACGGCAAGTGAGCTGAGCCCGTGGCAATAAAAACAAACCATCATCTCCCAGCTGAAAAATGCAGTTTCTTTGTAGGGCTGCTTGGTAAAACTTTTGGCACTTCCCAAAGCGCTGAGAAAACCCTCAATGTTCAAGTAGACGCCAGCAAAAGCTGCTCCAGAAAAGGGCGTTGATGCTCAGATAGCGGGATGTCCAGGCTCAAGGAGCAATTGGTGTCAGAAATGGGTACAGCCATCTCGATTTACAGGCTCCTTCTCTTTGGGATTTGGCTTTTTTTAACCCTTATTTACCACAGCGAGCCTGGAGGCAATGCAATGGTTCCTCTTCCAGAATATTCATCCCTCTGATGCAGAGCAAAGGCTGCACGTTCCCTCATAGTCCTTAGGCAGCTGCAGTTACTTACCGAAGGATTTTTGTCAGGGCAGTTCCCCCTCACAGTTTCAGGCGACTGTTCTTCTATCATCTACTTCCCAGATTCTCTCTAACGAGGAAAAGAGGGCAAATTTTGATCGCTACGGAGATGCCGGAGAAAGCCAGGGCTACTCTCAGCACCAGCATCGCCAGTTCCACCACTTTCACGAAGGCTTCTATTTTGACGAGTCCTTCTTCCATTTCCCCTTTAATTCGGAGAGGCGTGACACCTCTGACGAGAAGTATTTGCTCCATTTTTCCCACTACATCAATGAAATCGTGCCAGATAGTTTCAAGAAACCTTACCTCATTAAAATAACCTCGGACTGGTGTTTCAGCTGCATCCACATCGAGCCCGTGTGGAAGGAGGTCGCTCAGGAATTGGAGGCACTGGGTAAGGACGAGGCAGTTTAGGCTGGGCGTGTGTCCCTCACCCAGCGAGGCTGCAGTGATTGCCTTCAGCTTTGGAGGAGTGAGTTTAATCTGTAGATTTCCTCAGGGATTTATTGCTTTTTCCTGTTACTAACATCATAATTGATGAGGCTATATGTTAGAAATGAGGAAAAAAACTAGTCCCGTAGATCACGCAGGCAAGATGCCTTTTCTCCTGTCCCCACAGCTAGTGGCCTAGTGTGACACCGACGCTAATAAACGATGGCGTGGCCAAGGGCTGATCGCACCACCACGAATTCGGGCCACCAGCATAAATACTGTGTCACTCTTTGTCCTGCACTTGGATAGCTTTGATAAGCAAAGATCCCTGCAGAATACATGCTTGACTTCAGGGCCGCTACCATCCAGTGGTTTTGAGACTTACTGAACACATTTAGATGCCAAGGAGGTATTTTGTACTTGCCCTTCCACCCCCAGCTTCCTTGTTTTCCCTGCAGATGTTGTAAAAACACGTAGACTCAACAGACAGCAGGGGACAGGCATTTGTGGTGTCTGCTTACTAAGGGTTTTCTCCCTGAGGTTTTAATGTAGCACATGAAATACCAGTGGACAGAACAAAAGAGGACAGCGTGATCTCACCCTCCCTAGATAAAGCTATGAGGTTTAGATATAAATTTCAAGGATTGCAAGAGGAAGAAAGTACAGAGTTAGAAGGGACAGTCCCACAAATAACTCCCGAGCAGGCTGCTGGGCAAGGGAACACATCTTCAACCTCAGTTTTCTACTATGCATTTTGGGTCATCAGTGATCTTTCATGTGAACCCACTCTCCTTTTTCAGGAGTGGGAATCGGAGTCGTTCACGCTGGGTATGAAAGGCGTCTCGCCCACCACCTAGGTGCACACAGCACACCGTCCATACTAGGGCTCCTTAACGGGAAAATAACCTCCTTCCACAATGCTGTCATTCGAGAAAACCTGCGGCAATTCGTGGAGAACCTTCTGCCGGGGAATCTTGTAGAAAAGGTACGCTCTAGTAAGAGTGTCACATACTGCTGCTCGCGTCTGTCTGGATGTAGCTGTTGCAGTGGCTAATCTGTTTAATTCAGGCCCCAAGCTGAACTGTGTCATGAACACAAGAAGATCCAACTGAGGCTGGTGAAATGAGACGTTGTGAGAGCTGTAATTAACAGCTACAAACCCCGGAGCTGGTGGAAGCAATCGCGCAAGGCGGCTCCGTAATGCTTCTCCTTGCAAAAGGGTTAATCCCACTACTACACCGTTACACCAGCAACTCTGTGTGCCTGCTGCTCTCTCAGTTGTAATACCCCAGGGCTACCAGAGCGGTATGAAAGCTACTCCTAGGTTAGGAATCCATGATCATGCCCTACCTGTCTGCTGGATTTCACTGCCCTTTGCCTTTCTCAGGGTTTCATCCAACAAATTAAGGACCACTCACTAATATGTGGGCATTGTCTGCTAGAACTCACCCACGCAGAGACCTGTTGTTTTGTCCGGTTTTGATTCAGAGCTCTGAAACTGGAGCCAGCAGTGCGAGCCCTTTCAAAGTTATTGGTAAAACCTCCTACTAGATAAACAATTCCTGCATTTCAGCCTTGCTCAGTTATTTTTGGCAGAATCCTTGAGCACCCACCCCCGCCTTCAGAGCAATGGGTCCAGGTCAGCCCCCATCATGCTCTCGCCTGCCTATCCTCTGCCTGGAGCCTTGTTCCTTGTTTTCCTTTGGGGGTTTCAGTGACTTTCTCTTGGGGCCACCCTTCCCACCGGACTCTTGGTTTGCTGTCCTCTGGGTATTTGAGCTCTCACCCCAAAAAGCAGGGTCTGCTGCCACCTCCCACAGCTCAGCAAAAGCAGAGCTGGTAGTCTGCTCCTCTCCCTGTGAGCCCCTAAACAAGCTGTGATCTCCCTTTAATCTCCTTCCTCTAGGACAAAGAGGTACCACAGCTGAAACAGAGCAGGTTTGATGGAGCTCACAGGTGCCTGTTAACCCTTGGCTTCCCACTATCAATAAAGCATATGGCCCAGTGAACAGTTATGAGAATCAAAGTGACATCAGCATTGACTTGAAACAGCATCGACAGAGGGTGCCATCACTAAGAGGGTTAGTGGGGGTCGGCACTGATGGTTTCAGCTAATGCCTTTACAAAAAGCACAGCCCAGCCATATCTGTTGGAAGGACAAACCCACAGTTTGCTTTGTGTAACACCTGGACAGCTTTTCCAGGCTCGGTTCTCATTCAGACACCTAATCACACAGCACTGCATGTGTCTAACGGCTCCGAGGTTAAACTAATGTTCTGACTCTATTTAAAGATTACAG